CATGTAACATAATGCAAAATGTGCAATGAACATCAAACGCATGCGAGTTATCACGATGCATAGGTGCAGACAGACCCTTAAGCTGACCATACACTGGGTGAATCCTGCTGAATTAGCCACAATTCACGTGGCCCTGTTGCCTGCACTCCATTCGACAAAAGACGTTTTTTTAATCAACTTTTGTTGAAGGAGCCGGTCTGAAAATTCTGCAGCCAAACAGCAACTGCAGGCAGTCAGCAAGATAAGCTGGCCGTTCAGGGTGCCTCATATTAGAACAGTCAGGCACATGTGTAAAAGACTAAAAATTGGAGCTGTATTGGGCTGCTCCTTCTGTCACAACACGATATGAAATTCCCCTAATTTGGTCTATGCACGCTGTGCTATCACCCACTATAATGTAGCATACGCGTGGGAGAAGGACAATCACAGTTCCTCAGTGTCGTGTACTAGGTTTCCCATTGCAAGTAACAGTGTGAAGGCAAAAAGTGACCGTGCAAGGAGCATTAGTATCAATGATATTTAGCAAGGAGAGATGATGATAAGACATGCAAGTGAGCAGGGAAAGGGGGGCATAAAAGACTACATCTCCCACAAACCCCCAGAGGGAAAAAGCTTGATCAGGACAGGTAAGGTGTCAGAACAGAAAAGCTAACCTATAGGATGGGGTTGTTCAAATGGCTCTGCTTGATTATTTAATATAATGTTCAATCGAAGAGAATAAATAAATAGCGGCTAATTAATGATCTGATTATCTGTCAAGATTTCAGCGATTTTTATAAATCAATATAAGGACAGCTGTGACGTGGGAGATATTGTGCATTACAGAGAGCGCAGGCCTTCTGTGAGAAGTAACAAAAAAGCATTAAAATGTCATTTATTCCTGCATAGAGCCCCACACACAAAACCTACAATTAGTCAGTTCCACGGACGTCACTGAGCAGATCCTCTCCCACACAGAGATGGCAATAAGAAGACAGATTCAGGGAGAAAAAGCAAGCTGCAGGAATACATACATGTCGCAGAACTTTGGCACATCTTGTGAACCAATAATACACCAGATTCTGCTACTTACCCTTTGGTTTGGACAATTACCGGACCCATCTGCACCCCACACAGCTTTGTTAACCAATCTGTCTCCCTGTACAAAGTATATATTCGATTCTTTGTGCACCTCACTGCCCACTAGCCGCTGGCCATCACATGTTTGCCTCCAATGAGCCCTTCATGTCACCGGAATAAAAATCATCACCTGGATATTTGACCGCAGCTTGCCACCAACGCAACGGCCTCACGTACTTGTTGCTCACAGCCACCGAATTCTCCCAATTTATGATTCTAATGCAGCATTGGGGTGATGCGGGGGAACATTAGGACAAGAACTGTCCTTCCTGCTATGCACAAGCAGTTTTCGGACGTGTACACCATGTATCCCAATCAGCTGATCAGTATATGGCTAGAGATACAGATGTTGATGGACAAATTCAATTAGAATTTCGAGAGCCAGTCAGTCCCATATTTTTATTTAATTTTTAGGAGCCAGCTCCAACAACTAGAGGAAAACTCAAAAGTTAGGTGCCAGCGATACTTTTTAAAGGAGCATTGGGGACTCTATTCCTGGGATTTGCACAGCCTTGCCATGGCCAGTTGACAAGAACTTCAATCCACTAAGGAAAAATTATTTGTATTCCAGTTTTAAATATGCAATAAATTTGTGTTGCTACAATCAGAATACTGTCCGTCCCAAGAATTCTACCATATTACGTTATGACAAAAACAAATAAAAATGCACCTGAACCCAAAACCTTTAGGCATTAGATGGAGTGAAGAGGGATTGGTACACCTGTCAGGTTTTTATTGCTTTAGATTCAACATCTCTATATGTCTCGGTGAACGCAATCACTTAAGGTGAAAGAAAATCCCACATTCTGGGTTGTCACCAGAACAGGAATAGGCGAAAAATCTTCCAATGGGGACACTAGGTCTGGTGACCCTGCTGACCACCAGGGATTTTCCTCACTTTGCAAGGATTTCTTCTCCCTGTTGTGACTATGGGACAGGAAGTAAAGGTAATTCTCCCCAATGGGACACAGATGGAAAAAAAAAAAAAGCTGACTTAGGTTATAGCCTCCCTTGCCCTCTCCAAAAACGAAAAAAAGTTTCTTCAGTTTCTACTTTAATTGAAAATGATCATTGAACACAACAAAGCCATCTATTTGGTCGATCAGAATTTCTGTCAGCGCCAATTGTTTCTAACAAAACCAAGAAATTAGCAATCAGATCGCATTGTACGGAATCTGCGTTCTTAGATTCCTGAAAAGCAACCATGTTTTTTTTTTCTTAATCTGACTTAACATGCAACTATATTACAGTATATAGGACAACAGTATTGTATGGCCAGTGTGAGAGTTCAATAGGAGACGTGCACTAGTCACTCATATCTTTATAAGATCCAGACACTACAACACAATCCTCAAACCTAGAACAGTATCCTCAACCTCAAAACTGCTGCCCCTGAGAGCTGCACCAATTACCAGTATACCGACTCACGCTCTAGAGGGGTCATGATAAAAAATGTGAAGGAAGAACTGATCTTTCTCCATAGCAGCCAATCAGATTCTCCGTTTTAAGTTCCCAATGTGTGTAAGTGAATCTGATTTGCAAGGTCCAAGCAGAATCAAATCTAATCAGCATCTGCCTCATCGGTTAGAGTTCATGCAGTTCTAGTCGATGGCGCTGTGCATATTGATGTCGTTTATTTTCAGTCCAGCAGCAGTTTGACAAAAATACATTTGCAATGTAGATGCGTGAAATGCAGACATCATAAAAAGACGTGTGTATACAAACATTTACATGGATAAGGTACACACACACACGTAGAACATGAATGCATTTAAATAGGTGAATGATAAAACCGGTCCTTGGCAGCAAACGTCCCACACATGACCCGGAGGTCCACACAACAGCCTCATTCAGTCCTTTTATATCTTTGTCTGCAGAGGAAAATGAGCCCGGAGAATGGAAAATGTGTGGGTACATGTAGTTTCAGAGAGAGCAGCAAATGATACATGGCTGGAAATGTGGGAGTTTAGATTATCAGGAGACACCCTCTGTCACAGTGTATAATATATGGTTGGAAACATTGTATATGGCAGGATTTGAGGCACAGCAGGGACAGCAGGGACAGCGTGCCTGGAATTTCCAGTGCAGATGAAGAACGGTACCAGCGGCTGCCCATCATGTACCACCACACTTCTACTCATAGAACTCACAGTGCCGGCAGATGCCTTACAATAACCATTCACCAGTCAGTGTGCCATGACCTGCACCCCCTGATTGAGTGAATGGCATACCGAACGTCTTACCATATACACGTTGCTGTGCAATGATCGGTACCACCAAATTCCTGTCATACACTGGTGGCTTCACCATCAGATGTCTCATCATATCCTGCACCCCCAGATTCCCCGGGAATGCACTGGTAACTGTGCTATAACCTGCTCCCCCTAATCCCTCACATATACCAATCACTGTGTCAGCACATAGACCCATCTATTACTGTGCCTGCACATATCCCCCTGTACTTCCTGCCATACACCTGGCACTGTGCCAGCACATACCCCCTGTACTTCCTGCCATACACCTGGCACTGTGCCAGCACATACCCCCTGTACTTCCTGCCAAACACCTGACACTGCGCCAGCACATATCCACCTGTACTTCCTGCCATACACCTGACACTGTGCCAGCACATATCCCCTGTACTTCCTGCCATACACCTGGCACTGTGCCAGCACATATCCCCTGTACTTCCTGCCAAACACCTGACACTGTACCAGCACATAGCCCCTGTACTTCCTGCCATACACCTGGCACTGTGCCAGCACATATCCCCTGTACTTCCTGCCATATACCCGACACAGTGCCAGCACATACCCCCTGTACTTCCTGCCATACACCTGGCACTGTGCCAGCACATACCCCCTGTACTTCCTGCCAAACACCTGACACTGCGCCAGCACATATCCACCTGTACTTCCTGCCATACACCTGACACTGTACCAGCACATAGCCCCTGTACTTCCTGCCAAACACCTGACACTGCGCCAGCACATACCCCCTGTACTTCCTGCCAAACACCTGACACTGTGCCAGCACATACTCCCTGTACTTCCTGCCATACACCTGGCACTGCGCCAGCACATATCCACCTGTACTTCCTGCCATACACCTGACACTGTACTTCCTGCCATACACCTGACACTGCCCTAGCACATACTCCCTGTACTTCCTGCCATACACCCGACACTGTGCCAGCACATATCCCCTGTACTTCCTGCCATACACCTGACACTGCGCCAGCACATACCCCCTGTACTTCCTGCCATACACCTGACACTGTGCCATGCCCAGGACTAACTGAACTCCTGCCATACACCAATCACTGTACCAGCAGATGCCCCTCATATGCTGCACCCCACAATTTCCAGCCATACATTGGTCACTGTGCCATAATTTGCACCCCCTTCATTTTTCTAATAAGCCATTCACTGTGTCAACACATATCCACCATATTCTGAACCCTGAAATTTGTAGCCATATGGCAGTCATTGTGCCAAGCCCCGAACATCCAGAATTTCTATCACTGTGCCAGCAGAAGCCCCCGTAACCTTCACCCCCAGATTTTCAACTGGACACCAAGCACTGTACCAACACATATATCCCATATTTTTTTTTTCACTCACACTGCCAATACATATCCCCCATACACTGGTTCCTGTGCCAGCAGACACTTTCCTGGTCCCGCACCCCCAGACTTCCATGCACAGCTCCATATGCTCTCCTCAGACAGCCCAGTCCCACAGCCGGCTACCTTCCCCCTGGACTGGAAACACATTCCCCGCTCTACAATGTTTCTCTCCCCGTACATATCTCCAGTATTTCTCTCCGTGCGGTGCCCCGTTCCACTTTCTCCGCGACTTCCCCCCGTTTCCGGCACTTACCGGCGGCAGCTTCCCCGGAATCCCACTCCGTGCCTCTCTCCTGCCGATCCCAGCGCTTTCCCACAGCGACACTACTGAGCACGCCCACTCCCGCGCCACGCCCACCGCCCCTGCTCTGTCCACCCTAACCCCGCCCCCATGACCAACATGGCCGTCTCTACGCTGCCAGCCAGAACTCGTTTTGCCAACCACATCTTTTCTTTTTTTTTCCTATCAGCTTTATTAACATGTTCAGAATGTGCACATTAATATTGAACTCGTTAGTGAAAAATCACTTATCTGAGACTACGAAGAGTCTCAGACTACTAGGAGCCCTCATTTTAGGAAATGTTTAAAAGCTCACAATCAATTTTAATGCACCAAATATATGCGACATATATGGAATAGGTTTCTGATTCAAAAGATAACTCTACTACGGTATGTACATAGACATAAATAGAACATATAATTACATAAACTAATATAAATTAAGACTTTATAGACAGAGATTGCTTAAAAATTATTTTTTTTACTTATATACAGTAGCTGTATACTGGAGGGCCCATTCACACCATAGAATTGTGCTAAACGTGCGTTTGTTGCATGCACGATACAGCGTAATAGGTGCACTGGTGCTTTAGGTTGCCATTGACACTCAACAGAACCTGCTAGCTGGAATGTGTTGAGTTCATGTAACAATTATCTTAGAGTAGGGAAGGATTAAAAGTAGGGCTGTTGCTAATTAAAATTTTCGTGTTCGATTAATCGAATTTTTTTTTAATCGATTAATTTCGATTAATTATAACGCACATACAGATCCAACTACACTGGCCTATGCACATACAGCACAGCAATGAAGTAATAAAATGAACTAGGATCACACTAATCCAGCATGTTAATAATCTCACGTGCCGCTTGAGTGGGGCAGCTCAGAATAATAGTGTGATCCTAGTTCATTTTATTACTTCATTGCTGTGCTGTATGTGCATAGGCCAGTGCCTTGGCTGGCGCTCGTGCAGAAAGTTTCAAAAAAAATTTAATCGATCAAAAAGATTATTGATTAATTGAGAAATTAATCGTTAATTTGCACAGCCCTAATTAAAAGCCCTGCCACCTTAATTTTTTGCTGTCGGCGTACTGTTGGGGATATTTCCCTTCACTTCCTGTCCCAGAAATGCAACAGGTAGTTAGATGAAATCTCCCAAAGTGAGGGAAATGCCCTCTTTAGACAGTTCTGCACCTGCCTACCGCCATTTTGGAGTAGATCAACATGGCGGCACTCGAACATGCGGACACCGCCATCTTGGTGTATACCAAGATCTACTCCATAATGGCGGTGCACATGAGCAGAACGAGGCGGCCGATATAGCTTTCGCTCGTTCTGAAGTTTCAGTGTGCGGTTTCGGATTCAAAGGCTCGTTGCCTTTGAATCCGAAACAACATAAAAATGTGTTTTCTTTGTCAAAACGAATGAAAACGTTTTTCATTTTCATTTGTTTCATTTGAAAACAATTTTTTTTTGTCTAGTGTAGAGTGCTCCTTATAGGGGTTCTGTCACTTTGTCCATTTGGGGACCATCTACTGATTCTCAACTTCGTCTTGCTCTCCGCTAGCTCTGTCCTTTTTGTCAGGGCGCTTAGAAATACGGGTACTTCCTGGTGTGGGATGTCACCTTCCCCACTTCCTCTCAGAAAGCAGCAGTCCAGCTCTAAGCTCCAGGTACCACACTGTAACATGGGGTAGTGGAGATCATGAACCCTGTATAAGCTCTGACACAGGATATGATTCACAAGATCTTTATACCATTGGACATCATTTAGCCTGGAAGACTGAGGACATCTAGTGGTAGAGATGAGTACTGCAGGGGACAGCACAAGACAGAAGGAGAATATTGCAGCTTGAGTTGCTTCTTTTATTCCTCCTTTTTTTACATCTTAGTCTGGAGTAGCTGAACTCAAGGCAGATATAAAAGGCACACTTTATTACAGCTCTGTATTTATTATGCTTTCATGTACATATCCGATGTAGATGTGATTCGATATGTATTAGCACCTCCATACATGTATTTTTTAAATGCAAGCACTGTACCTGAATTCGACCTGGTATCAGCCCCTCCAGTCCCTGTACAGGATAAATGGAGTGTGAATGTAATAACCAGCACAAGGAAACAATCAGTTCATGTACTGACTAGAAGCATGCTGATTGGAAGCTTAGGCAGAGTGACAGATAGATGAAATAATCACTGTGCTGCTTCTTCTTTTACTGTGCAGTCACAGGCTGGGGCAGGTCCAGGATGACCTGGGCTCAGAGGAAGTGGGTTGAATGATATTGACCCTCAGACTAAGAGCATCTAGCAGCAGAAAAAAAAAGTATTGCCGGGGAGATCTATGTATTGATGGTTAATATTGCAAACAGTAGCTGTTTTTCTTTCATCTTTTAATAGGCTATTCAGTTTAATCTTGTTATTTTTGGCTGGAGTTCTGCTTTAAGAATTAGGGTGGGAGTTAGAGGGTTTATTTTAAAGCCCAACTGTAGCTTGGATCTAGGATGGCTTTTAATCCAGCAGGGAAGTTAAAACCTCAATCAGGTTTTTTTTCATTATGTGTGTCCCTAGCTTCCTGTTTGATCAGCAGGAAGAGAGGGAGAATCTCTCCAATAGTAATACAAAGAGTCATTATAATAGCCTTTGTTTTAGTATGGGGAAAGGTTACAATTATTATTAGGAGGACAAGAAGTAATGGGAATTCATCCCAATGGGGACATTTAAAAAAAACAATGAGAGATTTTAATCCCTTCCCCACTATACCAAAAATTAAACAAAAAGTGTAGTTACGGTTGCATTTTAAGGGTTTGGAACAGATCACAGTTTTGGTTATATTGAAAAAAAATGGGGGAAATGTTGGTGCCTTTCCCAGATTCATGCACCTGTTGGAAACAGGTATATGAATCTGGTGCAAATACTTCCATTTGTTATTCAGAGGCACACTGAGACCAGGGTGTCCATACCAGGCACTCTATCCTCAGTGCAGCTTAGTAAGTCTGAGCCTGATAAAATCACAGGCTCAGTGTTACTGAGCTTTCCGCCTGGTCACAGCACCTGTCACACAAACAGGTGGAGCGGCCAAAGACTTATACGGTTGGTGGACGAAGCCTGATAGGAATGCTGAGGTACTAGTTCCCCATCAGATTTGTTCTGCCGCTGATTGTCAGCAGGCACTGAGTGGATTCTGTAGCCAATAGCAGGCTGCCTTTTGGCTATAAATTCTGCCCACCGCTTGCTGTCAATCAGTAGCAGAGCGGACCTGATGGGGAACTAGTTCCTCAGCATCTCCATCAGGCTCCACCCACTTGTAGCATCACTAGTTTTTAAGGATGCTATTGGCTACAGTGATGCTGACAGTTCCCCTTAAATATTAGAAATTATTAAGGTAAAAAATAACTTTTGTCAATGGTCAGGTTATGCTTGTAGGTCCAGCTACCATGTCTTTCCCTAGTCCTATATAAACTGCAACTTGCTTGAAGCGCAGGAGCTTATTAGGAATTGACAGAGCATCATGGGATTTGACTTGGATGTAAGGGGTCTACAAAAGAACATAGCGGAACTGTGTGCTATGTCTCGGAAATAAATACCATTTTGTAGGACATTCATATTCCATCTGCAGCCTTGTGAACTCACTTTTGTCTATTGAACAGACGATGATTGTTGTGTGATCCGGCCAACAAAAGTTGGATCAGAGTACCATCTTATACCCCGAGGACAGGGGAGAATCGATGGTCCAGGGTTCATTTTCTTAGGCATTTGCCATAGCTCCCCTAGGAGTTGTTATACAGAGCAATCACATACCTCCAACTTCATGAGATAGAAAAGAGGGACCCATGGTAGCAAGAAGTATTAAAGGATTTGCCCCTGCGCAGACCATGAGGATTAATGGGCAAAGAATGATTGGGTTGACCCAAAATGGCTTTTTTTCCATCACTACTTTTTCTTTATTTAAAACTTTCAAAATAACACATTGAATAATTTCAGAGGTTAGATAAAAGGTTTAATGGAATACAACACTTTTGAAAGTTAAAGAGGTAAAGAGCACATTTTTCATTGAAATCCATACATCTGACTAAAAAGACAGACAACTGAGGAAGAAAGAGGGACAAAGGTATTTGGTTCCAAATGAGGGACAGTTATGAGTTCTGCAGTTCTGCAGCAGCATTTCCTTTCAACCGCTGTCATAGGGGCCTACATTGAGAGAAATAGTTCAACCATTTATGTTAAGATTGGGCAATGATTGTATGTGATATTACATTATATATGGCAATGCCATGGTGGTTCCGCCCCCCTGTGACGCGGCCGCTTGCAAGGGACGTAACCCGGAAGTCGGCAGCGGCCGGAGGATACAGCGGGGATCGCGGACAAGTCCTACTCTGTATTCCCGAGTGTGGTTCGGGGTTACCGCTTTGTTAACCCCGAGCCACACTCGGGAATACCAATGGATACGCGCGGAAAAATGCCCCAAAGAAGCTCCTGTACTTGTTTGGGCATAGGGCGTTTTTCAGCGCGTTTCCACGGGCTGAAATACACCCAGGTGGGAACCATCCCCATAGGAAAGTATGGGATTTCACTGTTTCAATCAGCGCTGAAAAACGCCCAGGTGTGAACCAGCACTTACACCCATTTCAGCACGTTCACCAGGGTTGCCACCTGTCCGGGATTCACCCGGACAGTTCGGGTTTTTAATGCTGTGTCCGGGTTTCATGGCAGCAGAAACCCGGACACAAGATGTCAGGCAGACAGGGACAACCAAAATTAAGATAGGGGCTACTGGCCCCCCACTGAAAATAGTGATATTTACATATGAACAGGTGGCACTAATTACATATGAATAAGCCGTGACTGATTCTCCCCAAAAAATATCCACGTGTCGCCAGAGTGTTCGGGTTTCGCTTGAAGAAAAGGTGGCAACCATACCGTTCACGTTGAAGTCTATGGCCGCGAACGCGCTGAAATACGCCCCAAAGAAGCTCCTGTACTTTTTCTGGTTTAGGGCGTTTTAAAGCGCGTTTGCACAGGCTGAAATACACCCAGATGGGAACCATCCCCGTAGGAAATAATGGGATTTCA